CTCCAGGGATGATCGTCTCAACGTGGAACTGGCCATGTACACTGCCCGTGGACGTCACGTGCACGTGCAGGAGAGCACCGAAATCTTTCCGGATGAGAGAGAGCGTCTCCTTGGGACACTTAGAGAACACAAGAAGGCCCATGAGCTTGCAAACAGGAGAGAAGCAAATGCCAGCCGTCATCGTTTGACGCGCACCGGTGCATCTCTTGACCTGAGCAAGCCGATTTCCACGGCATGCTTGCTTGGTGGCTTCATTTCGGTGCAACAGGACGCGCGAGGCGCCATCGTCGACCGTGGCGCTGAACTCATCAAAAGAAAGTTGAAGTCTGACGTCAGCTATCTTCGCAAGTTTCCTTTTCATGCCAGCAATATAATCGGCCTTGTCCTTCTCCGTGACAACGTTGGGTTGCGTGCAAGGTTTCTTGACTTCTTGTGCCTTCAGGCCTCGAAGCTGCGTCTGAACCCAGGACCTGGATACTTTGCTTGGAAGCGCTGAAGAGGAGGCTGCGGCAGCCTCGCCGGCAACCGCATGCTGTTCCCTTGCAAGCTGCAACTGCGTCTGCAACGTGTCCAGAAAGCCTTGTGTCGAAGCTGGTGCCAGCAGCTTCCTTTCTTCAGCATGCATGTTATCCGTTTTCTGAATCACCCCTAGCAATTCCGGGTGTTTGTCCAGCAGACGAGGTTGTCCCAGCCTCGCATAGTTGCTGCACTGTGTGTCATTCAAGACACTGCGCCAGGAATTTGGCAAACGGGAGCGCCTGTCCGGCCAACCCGCGCCCAGCTCCTTGCAAAGATCCTGGCTGTCAACCATGTCTTGCCAGCGTTGCTGCACGGATTGTTTGCTCCAATCCAGCACAGTGTCCACTGCCACCATCGAGCTTTCACACTCTTCACCTGCCAGCCAAGGAATCTTGATGTAGCGCTCCCCAGCAGGCAAATTGTTGACCATAAGACCTGACGCATGGGGCCGTATGAAATTCTCCGTCTTGGCGTACTGCAACACCTTCATACGTTGGCTGAATGTCCAATCCTTCTCACCTCTCTTGCGTCCTTTGCGATGCTGCCGCCTTGCTGATCGGGGTCCTGCTGAATCATCTCCACCGACAACTAGTGCACCCGATACTGGGGCAGCAGCTGTCTCTGTATCTGCGGCCAACTGAAGCTCGGGCTGCTCAGTTGTCTCTGCATCGGGCTGCTCGGGCATACACAAATCAATAAGAACATCCTTTGGCTCCTCCCACCGTACTTCGTGAAGTGCTATAGGGAAACGGCCGTCTCGCCTCTGAATGTCAAGCAGCAGCTCCCCAGCATCCATATAAACTCGAACCCGTTGTAGCTTGTCCCTACACCCCAAGAGACAAAGCTCGCGCGCACCGGCATCGTAGCCTGTAGGCACATAGATGTTCAATGACACGGGTTTGATAACATTGCTTCGGAGTTGAGGCAACGAACGTGATTCTTGCGACATGGTTTGTCCTAAATATGTTACGACGGTAGAGCCAAAACGGATGCTCTCAACAGCCAGAAGACGCAGAGCGTGCTTCCCCTGCAGACATAGCTGGCTCGCCCACGGGGGCAACCGTTGACTGCCCAGCTGCCACGCCGCTATGTCCATCCCAAGTTTCAAAAAACTAGCAGGCGCGGAAACGACTGTTGATTCAGTGGTTCGAGCAACTGCTTGATTGATCCACCGAAGTGATTGGGTAAATGCGAAATGAGCTTGCTTAACCAAACGCCTGCAGGAGAGTCACTAGACGTGCTGGCGCGGACAAAAGATGAGAGCTCTTACACCAGAACTGCATGCAGACCCGGCAAAGCGCTCCTTGAGTCCTCTCGTGAAAAAGTCGGCGAGCTTCTGGAAGTAGGCGGGCTTCCGACCTTGCCTAAGCGATCCTCGAAGTAGATATAGGCTGGAAGGCTGGAGGGCTGGAAGGCTGGAGGGCTGGAAGGCTGGAAGGCTGGAGGCCTGGAAAGCTGGAAGGAAGGCTGGAGGGCTGGAAGGCTGGAAGGCTGGAGGCTGGATGGAGGGCTGGAAAGCTGGAGGGCTGGAAGGCTGGAAGGCTGGAGGCTGGAAGGCTGGAAGGCTGGAGGGCTGGAAGGCTGGAAGGCTGGAAGGCTGGATGGAGGGCTGGAGGGCTGGAAGGCTGGAAGGCTGGAGGCTGGAAGGCTGGAGGCTGGAAGCCTGGAAGGCTGGAGGGCTGGAAGGCTGGAAGGCTGGACTGGAAGGCTGGAAGGCTGGAGGGCTCGAAGGCTGGAGAGCTGGAAGGCTGGAAGGCTGGAGGCTGGAAGGCTGGAAGGCTGGAGGGCTGGAAGGCTGGAAGGCTGGAAGGCTGGAAGGCTGGAGGCTGGAAGGTTGGAAGGGTGGAGGCTGGAAGGCTGGAAGGCTGGAGGGCTGGAAGACTGGAAAGCTTAGAGGGCGCTGGAAGGCTGGAAGGCTGGAGGGCTGGAGGGTGGCTGGAAGGCTGGAGGGCTGGAAGGCTGGAGGGCTGGAAGGCTGGAAGGCTGGAGGGCTGGAGGGCTGGACGACTGGAAGGCTGGAGGCTGGAAGGCTGGAGGCTGGAAGGCTGGAAGGCTGGAGGGTGGAAGGCTGGAAGGCTGGAGGGCTGGAGGGCTGGAAGGCTGGAAGGCTGGAGGCTGGAAGGCTGGAGGCTGGAAGGCTGGAGGCTGGAAGGCTGGAAGGCTGGAAGGCTGGAGGCTGGAAGGCTGGAAGGCTGGAAGGCTGGAAGGCTGGAAGGCTGGAAGGCTGGAAGGCTGGAAGGCTGGAAGGCTTGGAAGGCTGGAGGGTGGAAGGCTGGAAGGCTGGAGGGCTGGAGGGCTGGAAGGCTGGAAGGCTGGAGGCTGGAAGGCTGGAGGCTGGAAGGCTGGAGGCTGGAAGGCTGGAAGGCTGGAAGGCTGGAGGCTGGAAGGCTGGAAGGCTGGAAGGCTGGAAGGCTGGAAGGCTGGAAGGCTGGAAGGCTGGAAGGCTGGAAGGCTTGGAAGGCTGGAGGGTGGAAGGCTGGAAGGCTGGAGGGCTGGAGGGCTGGAAGGCTGGAAGGCTGGAGGCTGGAAGGCTGGAGGCTGGAAGGCTGGAAGGCTGGAAGGCTGGAGGCTGGAAGGCTGGAAGGCTGGAAGGCTGGAAGGCTGGAAGGCTGGAGGGTTGGAAGGCTGGAAGGCTGGAAGGCTGGAGGGCCTGAAGGCTTGGAGCGGAGGATGTGTTGGGCATTATATATTTAAACTTCCGGATTTAAACAGGTCATTTACACTACCTCTGTCATCCTTGGGCCTAGGCCGCCCTCCACATATTTAAAAAGCGTCACCGTAGTCAGAGTGGCGTGTTGGGGCATGGTGTATTACAATCAGAGTTATTGCCTCGACGGGATGGTCTTGCCAATTCTTAGCTGTATATGGGAGTTTCCGGAAATTAGGGTACCTTATTTAGGGGTCCTTATAATAAGGATCCTACTATTCAGGGTACTATATTAGGGTCCCCTATTTGCGGAAACCCCCATATGATGCCAGCTCTCCCACAGCCACAGCCACACCTACACCCCCACCCGCATTTGCACGTGCACGCGCACGCACACGCACGCGCACCCGCACCCGCTCACGCATGGAAGCAAGCGATATTTGCCGCCAACGAGGACCAGGCATCAGCCGTGGATCGTCTCGCATGCTCCTGAACAAAGGGTGGGAAAGCAAAAGGAAGAAAACATGAAGCAGTGCCCGTCTACGGAACAATTCACGACACAGGAACGGACTCGACACGTCAATGCTTGCGGACCCACACGCCTTCGACCGATCGGCCTTCCCAAACCAGTCCTTTGCAGACCCCAGAAGCACCAGCACCACGACAACATCTTAGAAGCTGCCCCCACCCTGTAATGGTGACTTTTTGGATTTTCTTAGGGCCCTATTATATTCCTATTACACCACTATTACAGGGTGGGGGCCCCTTCTAAACAACATCGGTAACTCAGAGTGCCCGGCGGGCGAGCCAGTCGAGCAGTTTCTTCGTTGATGCGTTTCAGCATTCCAGCAGGGCCATTACCCATAGCCCCCATAGTAGTTCCTTTTTTGGGATTACCTTGCAGGATTCCATATATGAATCACAAAAAGGAACTACTATGGAGCCTTAGGGTAGAGTGAAGCTCAACACTTGGACCGAGCAGGGTCTTCTCCCCGGTTCTCCCGCTGGCGGCGTTGGGCGTACTTGAAGGCTCATGGGACTTAGTAACTAGGGATATAATTAATAACTATACTTATAATTACTTATAACCCCAATTAGGGTTCTTATAACCTAACTTACTAAGTCCCATGATCGTTCAAGTAGTGGCGTTGTGCGCGGCTGCTTGCCCACGTGATAGCCTAAAATCATTATCGAGTTCATCGTATTCTTAGTCATCCAGCCTTCTATGTTCACCTTTCTCCACCTTGAAAGACCCACGTAGAGTACTCTTATCAAGCTTTAAAAGCAGCCCCCCTTGGTAGAACCCTGTTATGAAAGGAACCCTTTCGCTGATTCTCTTCCCCAAACCTTAACCCCCCTACATAACCCCGTAAACCCTAAGCCCCTAAACCCTATAACCGTCAATAACCCTAACCCCTAAACCCTAACCCCCAACACCCTACTTGAAGGATCATGGGACTTAGTAACTAGGATCATAATTAAGGCAATTACTTATTATTAACCCCAATTAAGGTACTTATAACCTAATTCTTACTAAGTCCCCTGATCCTCCCAAGTAGACCCTGAACCCTAAACCCTATAGATCCCTTGAATGAACCCTATAACCAGATCTCTTTTAGGAACCTTGCTTACCCTACAGTAAAAGCCAGAAAGTTGGAATATGCTTATCCTAACCCTTCTATGGTAAATTATAGGGTATCCTACCCTGAACCCATATTCCAACTTTCTGGAATTCCCTGTAAACCCTATAGATCCCTTTAATGAATCCTATAATCAGATCTCTTTTAGGAACCTTACTTACCCCAACCCTTTCTCTGATTCGCTGCCAGGGTTCACTCTCCACCTCGCCCAGGAAGGATTCCTTTGCTCCCTCCCCGGCGGGGGCCGAGACCGAGGCCACCTGGCCAATTCCGGGGTTCTTAATAAAGGGCTGGGGGTTGGGGGTGAATTATGGGATTTATAGGGGTTTAGGGTCTTAGTTAATCAATAAAGGGTTGGGGGTTTAGTGGGTTAATTATGGGTTTCATAAGGGTTGTAGGGTTGTAGTGTTTAGGTTTTCGGGTGCAACGTCAAGGTTTAGGGATTAGGGATGATTAGGGCTTAGGCTGAATATCGAATCGAGGTCAGACACCCTTAACCCAAGACCCGTTTTCGGCAATGAGTTTAGCCTGCGTGATGCAGAAATCCTCAAGATGGTACAAGCTAACTAGGATACCCAGTAAATTAAGAATCAAAAGGCCTCTCTTTTTGGTATTGGGTAACTTTATAAGGAACCTAGGACTACAAAAAGGGAATAAGGGTACTACTGGGCATCCTAGCAAGCTAATGTAAAGGCCTGAACGGGGGTTATCTCCCCCAAAACGCTATTGTAATTATCTGTTGATGTTGGCGGGTTTAACGTTCGTGGGCTTGTGGCTTTTCAAAGGTACTTACTAGATGTTTGTTAAGGGGTTGAATTTAAGTACCATAATAAGGAAACCAACTTTCTAACGATAGATCTCTATTATGGTATCTTGAAGTGAACTTCCTTAAGAAGAACCCAGCTTACACTTTCTGTTTCAGAGCGTCATTGCCATTGCTGTATGAGGCTTGGGATATGGGGTTTCCGAAAATGAGGGGTAGCTGAGTTTGGGTTCCTTATAAAAAGGAGCCTACTATTTAGAGTGCTATGTTTGGGTAACATATTTTCGGAAACTCTCAGGCGATTTGCGGTCAAGGGCGTACACTACGGGTTTAGTATTTCGACTGGAGGGCTTGGGTGTTTTGAACGCAGGCAGCAGTGTTCGGGCTTTGGGGTTTTGGGCTGATAGGGCAGAGCGTCTGCAGACAGTATGTCTGGTTAGGGGCAGATCGGCAGCTGGGGGTTTGCAGTCGAATCGAGGTTTCATTTCGCTGGGGAGAAGGCTGCACGTGCCTTGCAGGAGTTGACTTTAGCATCTTCTTGTAGCAATCCATCAACGCCATAAATTAGACAATCTAGGTTCCCTAGTGTCGCCTGAATTATAAGGGCACCCTTTTTCCTACTATTAGGTTTTAATCAAGAAACCCCAAAACAATAAGGGCAAAAGGGGTAGCACTGGGGAACCTAGCAATAGTACCCATCAGCAGAATGGTCCTGAAACTCTCAAAGTACATACCGTGAAGATATAAGGGTCTAGCTCGGGTTCAGAAATTAGGGTTCAGGGTTTGAGTAACCGAATCTGGGTAATGATGCTCAGAGCCCTAAACCCTAAACCCTAAGAACCCTAAACCCTAGTCCTAAGAACCCTAAACCAGGAGCCTACTTAAACTCTACTATGGTCAGCATTGTTGGGCTCGAGAAGTCCCCCACCAGAGCATGAATGAACCCTAAACCCAAACCTATACACAGGCTAGCAAGGCTTCCAAAATTTCGGCTTTGTCGGTGCTCTAGGGGGATCTATGATAAGGTTTAGGGTTCAGATTTCCGCGATCAATTTTTAAGGTTCTACAAGGGTTCTGCAGCCCTGAAAGCAAAAGGTGCGCACAGCAAAGAAGACAATCGATCTGCCGGTAGGTGCACGTGACTTGAAACCAGCTTTGCTGTGTTGTGTACATGTGATGCCTTTACGAATCAGGGCTTGGGGCATGTCGTAAGGTAAGCCTGAGCGGTCCGTGACCCTGTCTCTTGTCAAAGGTTCTTTCTGCATCCGTTCACTCACAAGGAAGCCCACAACCCATGCCTACGTACTTCATGCCAATCGGAGCCAACCCATTCAGGAGTTTCCGAAAATAGGGACCCTAATATAGTACCCTTTATAATCGGATCCTTATTATGAGAACCCCAAAATACCCCAAAATAAGTTACCCCTAATATTCGGAAACAGCCATACCAACAATGGAACACTCTCATTGGTAGCCTCTGCCACATGATCGTCATCATCGTCCTGCCCGGACCGGAAATCGAGCGGTACTACATGGGGCCTTAATCATTAGAATAGGGCTTTGGGCCCCATTATACCATAATTATAAAGACAACCCACAAAATAGTATAGGTAATTCTTAAGGCCCCTATATTACAGGTATCAGCCGTTTGGGGTTCCTGCAAAGCAGGGCAGAACAAAACCCTGTTGCGGAGTGGCTGAGATCATGTCACGAAACTTCATGTGCTGAATTCACAGACTCTGCCTCCCGCTACCAATATGAAGCCTTAAATGAAACACTAAACCCTATGACCCTGAAGCCAAAACCCTAAACCCTTAAACCCTAAACCAGAAAAACCTAAAACATATTCTTTGAGGAGTACTTGAAGTCTGAAGCCTCTAACCTCAGATGTGCCCCAGGGAGTTATAAAGTTATTAGGGTTTGGGACTTAAAACCCTAGGGTTCAGGGTTTGGGATTTGGGGTTTAGGGTTTGTGGTTCAGGGCTTAGGGTGTAGGGCCTCTAGGTCTAGCTTCTTCTGTCTCTGTTACTAGGGCCCGAAAAAAGCACATAAGCAAAAATTAGGAAAGGGATATCCCATATACACCCCCTTATAATGATGCCCAATGAGGTAGGGATATCCCCATAAGATGCTTATGCTTCTGTGCTTCTTGGGCCCCTGAGTTACTGGTTCTTTTCATTCTCGCTGGGTCTAAAAAGGCTTCAGGACCTCGGACTGACGGGTGGATGTCCATACCCTCGGTACTGCCCCCATACAGTAACAGTCTAGGTTCAGGGTTTAGGGATTATTAGGCTTTAGGGTTTAGGGTAACAGCCGGGCCCCGGGACTGATCTTTCTATATTCTACAGACTACTCAACTGTTACTGAGTGGGGGCAGTATCCCCTCCATACCACAAGCCGCGACTCATGCATGTAACATTAAGGCCTGGGTCATGAGAACATGCTTTCTGTGGTGGGAGGGGGCCAGGGGGTACTTAGTTTACAGTAGAAACAAAACGCAGACTCGAAAGGAGTGGTGGTGGTGGTGGTGGTGGTGGTGGTGGTGGTGGTGGTGGTGGTGGTGGTGGTGGTGGTGGTGGTGGTGGTGGTGGTGGTGGTGGTGGTGGTGGTGGTGGTGGTGGTGGTGGTGGTGGTGGTGGTGGTGGTGGTGGTGGTGGTGGTGGTGGTGGTAGTAGTAGTCGTAGCACGCGCTCTGCGCGTATTTGACGCCGTGCTTCTTGTGCATTCACATGCAGAAAAACACGGCAGGAACGGCATTTCAGCATTCACACGTTGCTCCGCCGAGCGCCCTGAAACGTTGTTTTGGTGATGAGAATGATGATGTTGAGTATGTTGTTATGATGAAGATGAGTATGACGATACTGTGTATCACAGGGATGATGATGTTGATATGATGGTTTTGAGCGTTACTGTTCTGATGACGACGATGATGATGAGTATGATGATCTTGAGTGCTACTGTTATGATGATGATGATGATGATGATGATGATGATGATGATGACGATGTTGATGAGTATGATGATCTTGAGGGCTAATGTTATGATGATGATGATGATGATGTTGCTGATGAGTATGATGCTCTTGTTGAACATGCTTGCGATTGGCCCCCGCCCACCCCACATCCCCTGCTACAGATCGGTCCTCCAGATCCGCCAAGAACATCGCTTCGATCTCCTGGATGTCGCACACATCCCCATCATCCTGGTGCACTCACGCTTACCCAGACCCCCCCAAAAATCCAGAAAGCAGATCTCCTAATTTAGGGCCCTAGACTACTCAGGGTACTTTATAGGAACCCCCATTAAGGGATCTACTTTTTGGATCCTCCCGGGGGTCTGGGTGAGGGTTTAGGGTTCATCCAAAACAGAGTGCCCAACAGAGCTTGATGTTAGGTAACCTCTAGTAATGTACAGTAGGGTTCCAAATCACGTATCTAGAGAACTCAATCAGGGATTTGAATCGCCTAGTGAATTTTTAGCAACCAAACCTCCCTAGTCTAATGACTAAGGCTCCTGCACTCAATTGTATTAGAAGCATGGTGCTGCACCCTCTACTCTAAATCCTAAATTTAGACCCTGTGCCCTAAAACGCTAAACCCTCAACCCGAAACCCTTCAACCCTAAAACCCTAAACCTTTCCATCCCCAATCCCAGCGAGCCCTCTCCTCAAACTCGGGGAGCCCGAAGAGGCTCCCCCAAACCCGCCCTACCGGCCTACGCTGCGAATTTGCGGTGTAGGGTTTAGGGTTTAGGGGTTTAGGGGTGCCAGGGTTTGGGGTGTAGGGGTTTCGGGTTGAGGGGGTTAGGCGTAGGGGTTTGGGGTTTAAGGTTGAGGGGTTTAGGGTTCATGGTAGAAGTTGGCCGAAGGTTTGGGCATCACGGAGTTGATATTTGAGAGTTTTCGAATATTGAGGGTGCCTTATTTTTGGGGGCTCCTTAAGTTCAGGATCCTACTATTCAGGGTACAATATTAGGCTTCTCGATTTTCGGTAATTCCCATTTAGGGCTTCTTGAAGCTGCAAGGTACTACGGTCATGGCTGCCTTAGGAGTTCAAGTCTTGCTGGACATGTTGTTGCGAGTCTCGTAGTTTAAGCTTCAGTGCTGCTTTTTAAGTTCTGGATCGTCTGGGCGCCAGTTCCTCAACCCTAAACCCCACAGCCCAAACTCCCAACCCGAAACCAAGGCCTTATCAACCCTAGACCCCAGTAGATCCTAAACCCTAATGGACCTCAAACTTCGATCCTCCGGAAACCCTAAACCCTAAACCCTGAACCCTAAACCCTAAACCCTAAACCCTAAACCCAACGCTTGGCCGTCCTCCATGGCTTCTTCATCGAGGCATTCCTCCTCCTGGTCGCTGGAAGCTTCGGGGTTTCGGCTTTAGGGGTTTGGGGGTCAGATGGGTGGCTGTCAAAATTATGGTCCTTTTTTGGGGTCCTGGTCCTTTTTTTGGGTCCCTATTATAATACGGCACCTATATTGTTTAGGGTATATACCCAAAAAGGGACCTTAATTTTGACAACTACCCAGATGGACCCTGGCTTTTTTTCGGCTCCTTACTCTAGTTTCCTCGGACTCACGAGTGTTTAGGGTGGTTTCGGGCGGTGACCAAGGATTCCTGCTCATAAAAGTCGTAGTAGACATCCTTGATTCAGGAATTAGGGTTTAAGGTTCGGACGGCCCTAGGTTTCCTGGTAGCCTCTGAATTTTCTGGCTAGGGGGGTTTGGGTACGCTTGTTTTCAAAAAAGGCGCCAACACGAAAAAGGGCAAAAGGGCTTTAAGGCGGAACGGGGGCCTTGAATGCAGGGTTCTGCGTTCCATTCTTCAGGGCTTCAGAGCTTTACTCAGAGCTGCTTACAGGTTGGAGTTAGGATTAGGGGGACCCTTGGGGATATAGACCCTCTCAATAAGGCCCCTTTTAAGAGAGCCAGAAGTAGGGTTCAGAAGGGGTACCCTTTATGGGGTCTCCCTAATTTGGATAATGGTAACGGCAAGACTGACGGTCCTTCCAGCTAACGGCGAAGATTCATGTTGGATCCCCTGGTGAACAACAATCGCCCTCAACAATGCGGGGTTGTAGTTGGCATCCTAGCACGAAGAGCCGACTGAGAAGTCTATAGCAACATACTTGTCGGGTATCATGGGGAGCTAAAGGGTAACCTTATGTAGCCTTTTCGGTTTGGGCTTGTCAAGGAACTGTACTACCCGAAAAAGGTTAAAGCTTACCTACCCTACTACTAGGACTAGGTGGGGCTTTTAAAGCCTCTGAAAGATGTTAAGGAACTACTATGGCGCCTATAGGTAACTAGATGCTGGAACATCACTGCAGCTGACAACCTCTGAGTCCCAACATTTCATGCTCCAACGCTGAGCACAGTCAGGCTTCTAGAATACTACGGTTGGTGATATAAATCCTGCATTACCTTAAGGGCCCCAAACAGTGGCGGGAATTATGGTATATTCCTTATTGTGGGTAATGCAGGATTTATATCATCAACCGCAGTACCGTGAATGCACCCTTTTGCTGATGCCTCTCCGTCGACCGGGCCGCTGGCATCTGCGATGCCGACCTCGTTTTGCTCTAACTTTAAGGTTTATAGGCCTTTGCCCTAGCTTAAGATCCTATCTTGCTTCCTCAGCGAAACCTCGGTAATCAGGAAACCCTGTCTGCTGGTATGCGGGTTTAATCGCCCTTGGTCCGTGCAAGAGGTAAGGTTTCGGGTGTATGTTGAGGATGCCCATGCCTGGAATATAAGTTGACGAACTATCAATCTGGACCCAAGAGTAACCTAGGAATAAAAGGGGTGCCCTTTTTGGTTCAAGGGGCGTAGAAGGGAACCTGAACCCTAAAAACAGGGAATATGGGCCTACTCTAGATCCTCGTAATTATTCCGACCCCTATGTTCAGGACTGGGTGCTCCATTTGTGTTTGGGCCCATTGCTGTTCATAGCACCGATCAAGCTATTCCCGCCCATTTCCTCAAACAGCCACTGCGACCTACACGCTGCTCGTAAGCGACATAACAACGCTTAAATTGACTAAGTAGTAGAATGCTCTCCTTACTGTAAGGGTTCATGTGCCCGAATAACTAGTATATGCTTCGTCCTTATAGTCGTATGTATATAGGTACTTTCGAGCCTAAGTATATACTATTTGGCTACATGGACCCTTTGGCTCTTACACGGTCTTACAGCCTAAAGCCTTTCATATTGGCGATTTCGTGGTCTTGGCACCCGGCCGGCAATGCCTGGACAGCGTCCTGCGGAGGACTTGCAGTGCAGCTAGAGATACTGGCTGTCTTGGTTCTAGGTGTGAGGGATAGGTTGGATACTGCCCCCAAACAGTAACAGTCTATAATGTGGCTACTATTAAGATCCTAATATATCTATATTATGAATATTATCCAACTGTTGCTGAGTGGGGGCTGTATCCAAGGGATACGTATGTTGAGCCCTAAGTCTCAATCTACCCCTCGAGCTCAGGGTTCTTGAAGTCTGGGGTGTGCAGTGTCCGAAGTCACATCTAAACGCTGAATCCTAAAGCCCTAGACCCTAAACCCTCAGCCCCTAAACCTCCAAACCCTAAACCCCGAAACCCTAAACCCCTAAACCCTAAACCCCTAAACCCTAAGCCCCTAAACCCCTAAACCCCTAAACCCTAAACCCTAAACCCCTTAACCCGAAACCCCTAAACCCTAAGCCCCTAAACCCCTAAACCCTAAGCCCCTAACCCCTAGTCCGAAGATCTGGGGCCGTGAACAACTTCACCGACAACGGCTTTGTTGGTTGAGAGAGCTCCTACGGATCCCGCCGGGCCGCACGACCTTAAGGACCCTAAACTATGGGAAATCATGGTATATTCCTTACTATGGATCATGCAGGATTTATATCATCAACCGTACCACGAGCAGAACAAGGCTTCGGAGTAAGCAAACGACAGAAATCAAGGGCAAATCGCAACTGGAATCTCGGTATCTGTTTCCACTTGCTTTCAATCGCTCATCGAGATGATAGGGGGTCCCCTCTGTCTTGGCACCCTTTCTTGTCCGAAATTCCAAACCCACTGAACCCTAAACCTAGACCTGAACCCCAAACCGAACCCTGAACCCTAAACCCAACCTTCATAGCCCTGAAACCTATTATTATATAAACCCAACTCTACAACTTAAACCCTCAAGCCCTAAACACTGCCTTCTGAACTCTAAACCTCACATAAACCCTCAAACCCTAAACCCAACCTGGCAGAAGGTCCTCGTCCCCGTCGTCAGCCACCTCCATGGCATCCGGGTCGCTCTCGCACGCCTCCTCCTCCTCTGTCGGGTGCTTGGTAGGGAATGGGGTTCGATTAAGGGTTCCTATAAGGGTTATACTGGAGGGGTCTAGGGTTCTTAGCAGGGAATGGGGGAATGGACTCCTATAGTAGCCCCTCTACAATCCCCAATAATCGTCCCCATAACCCATTCCCACATTGCCTACTAAGAACCAGACAGCCGACTAAGAACCCCCAAACCCCTATAGTATAACTCTTATAGTAACGCTGATAGTAACAAGTAACCCTTAAAGGAACCCTTAACGGAACCCTTAAAGGAACTCTTACAGGAACCCTTTAAGGAACCCTATTCCCTACTAAGCACCAGACAGTCCTCGGCTCCCTCTTGCTCGCCTTCTCCAGCCACCTCTTCGCCGGGCTCTTGGGTCACCTGGGCTGATCTGGGAGGCCTTCGAAAGGGGCTTAGGGGTTTTGGGGTTTAGGGGTTTAAGGTTTAGGGGTTTAGGGGTTTAGGGTTTAAAGAAGTTTGGTTTCCTTCAAGATCAAACAAAACATACGACACTGAACTTAAGATCTAATCTCAAAGCCCTGAACCCAAAACCCTAAACCCCCAAAGAATTCCGCCCTAAACCCTCAATGCTAAGAAGCGCCAAGTCACTTCCTCCGGCTGATCTTCAGCCTCTCGTTCCTTCAAAGCCCCCACCTCTTCGTCCGCCTCCTCCCCTTCCTCTTCCCCGTCTTCTTGCGCCTCCCCCAACGGCTTAGGGTTTAGGGGTTTAGGGTTTAGGGTTTAGGAGTTTAGGGGTTTAGGGGTTTAGGGTTTCGGGTTCAAGGGTTTAGGGTTTGGGGTGTCTTCTTGCGCCTCCCCCGCGGGATGCTATGGGAGACATCCGTTCGAATCTATTGTGCTCTAATCAAATCTAACCTATTCACACGAAAACTAGTCGGCGCACAATCCTGCATATTACATTATACATACTAAGTAAGAGGTACCATACTCGTACTATATACAACGACGGCATGATCTCCACTATATCCTGTAGAGTGCAGACTATATACCAGGAACTGTATAGTGTTCGTTCTACCTATACTATACTGCACAACATACACTCGAAAAGTGATACAATGTTGCGTCATGTACTGGCATACCACATATCATGCAATATCGCAGAACAGTGCCGTGATCTCATAGTTTCCTATCACCTGATAAAGTGAACAACATTCCAAACGCACACACACACACTCGTAAATGTGGTGAGATAAATCATGAACATACTGCGTTACTGTCTCACATAAAACACTTAACACAATAGCATAGACAGCATTTCTACAGCCCACTATACTCTCATGAGCTTTAATGGAAAAAGGTACGGCGTAATACGACATGTAGTTGAAGACAATACATAGACTGTAGTATGTATCGTGAGCACAACATAGTGTAGTACTACTGCACTACATACCAACATCATGCGATACAGTTCCGTTTGCTACAATATAGCGTGATTTAGTATACCAAAATTTCGTACAGTTGTAAAGTATCATGAAATTTACCATGGTGCAATGTAGTATGGCAAAGCAATAGTGTAGCATCGTATACTCTATCGTTCGTGCTACTATCAGCATTAGTACTTGTACTGGCCTTAGTCAGAGTATTCGCACAGCTTCAGTATGAGTACTAGTATCAGTATTAGTACCTGTACTGGCACCGGCATTGGTATTCGTAATAGCTTTGGCGTTACAGTGGGCATTCGACTTCGCGTGGTATAACACATGATAAAGTAATGTAACGTGAGGTGGAGACATGTCATGTGATGCAATGTAATGAGGAAGACCATGTATATGCCAACATATGTATGTATGTATGTATGCATGGATGTATGTATGCACGTATACATATATATATATATATATATATATATATGTATGTATGCATATGAGTACAACGCATCTTCATTCCTTCGAAACTTTTCTTCTTCTTCTTCAACAACAACAACAACAACAGTATGCCGTTTAACATAAATGCGTGTCAATAGTGACACAGCAGCGACAATAGAAATGTTCAATCAACACACAGTCATGACAGCACCAAACAGCGGCGACACTAGATGTTCAAGGGGAAGGTCCAACTGTCTTAATAATTAGTACAGGGTTTCGGAGTGTATTGTAGTAGAAGTAGCACGTGCCTGGTCGTGTTCCCGGTCGCATGACGACCGGTCAGGGAAGAAACAACACAGGCGAATTGCCTCTGTTCTGAGCGCCGAGCTGCCGACATGCCCCAGATATATACGACGTGTATTTGTGAGTTTGACTAAACCCAGAACGGACTTCCCCCCCCCCCCCAACCCGAAAACACCACGGCATAACACACAGCGTTGTCCAACCACAAGGGAAGAGCCATGCTAACCTCTTGAAACCCCGATGAAACCGCATAAACATATCATGAGCCCCCCCACACCCGCCCACCCAGTGTCACCCTCCGAAACTTACTGGGTTGGCTTTTAAACACCCTCAAAAAAACATATATATATATATATATATATATATAGGGTCCCTAAAAAACCCAGATAAGGAAAATAAAAAATGTCCCAAAATCCAACCTAGCTTATTCCGACTCCCATATTGGCCTCGGCGTCGTCGTCTCTTTCCTCGTCGGGCGTTTCGCCGTTGGCATCCGCATCTTCGGTCTTGGCCTTTCCAGGGCAGCTTTGAGCCAAGTTCAGGGTTTAGGGCTTTGGGTTTAGGGTTTAGGGGTTTAGGGTTAATAAGGGTTTCTGCGGCCTCATAGGGTTCATGAGTCTCCATGTGGGCTTCAGACTCTTTAAACAGTAGCAATGGGCAGAATCAGAACCACCCAATACCAGAAACACCTGTCTCGCGGCGCCAGGAACCATCAAACACACAATGACATTAAAAAAACACGCCAATACGAATACGGATGGTGCTACGGTGACCACAAAAAACAAGGATGTGCCGTGCAAGAGCAGAAAAACCCTAAACCCCAAAGCCCTAAACCCTAAAACCCTAATCCCTAAACCCTAACGCCAGGGGCTTAAAGCAGATGCAAGTTACACTGTCCCTATGCCAAGCCGCTTTACCCACCCGTGATCAGTTTCCCATGTTGCGGCCTGAACATGCCTGAAAGCCCATACCTGGTCAGGCGTCTGGCGTTCCCAGCCCCCCCCCGTCCCCCCCCCCCCCCCAATGGTATGGTCTGATAGGGGGGGGGGGGGGGGGCCTGGCGTGTGCGGAAAGGGGTTGGGGGCTGTTGATGGTGGGGTGGTGCTGGCGGCCAGGGCTCACGCGCAAGCCCTTCGCAAACAAGCCGTAAACCCTATAACGCAGCGCGTGCCCCCGTTTTGAGCAACCTTAGCTTGTACTTAAAACGCTGCACCCACCCTAAACCCCACCTAACTGCAGGCTCTAAGCCTAAAGCAGAGCATACACCGCAAATCCTCCCTAAGCCCTTGTCGACTCGAAGCTGTATACCTTATAACCGTAAACCCAAAACTCAAAAGCTTAAGCTAAACCCTAAACCCCAAAACCCCACAACCACCCCACAGGGGGAAGAGGAACCCCACACCCCACACCACAGGGGAGGGGGGGCCCCACCCTATATCCGGACCATTGACCTTTGGGGGGGGGAGGGGGGGGGGGGGGGCTGCGGAGCGCGTGACCATACCCCTACGCCATCTAGGTTCCCGAGTGTCCTCTGAATAATGAGGACCCATTTTCCATCCGGGCTTAGAAAGAGACCCCAAAATTATTGAAATTAAAAGGGTAAAAAAGCTGGGAGCCTAGCCATCGAACCAACCCTCAACCCAAGAACTCGGGCGGTTGCTCCTTCGGACATATGGCTCGCTTGCGAGGTTTGGGAAACAAAGGCTGACACAGGTTTAGGTTGTAGGGTTTAGGGTTCAAGATCTAAGGTCTACTTGGAGGATCAGGGGACTTAGTAAGTTAGGGTATAAGTACCTTAATCGGAGCAATAAGTAATAATAAGTATGGTTACTGAGTCCCATGATCCTTCAAGTAGGGTATCCCAAGGGTTCATGCACCCATCCCAAGAAGGTACATAGTGGCCCTGCTTGAGAAGCCGTGTTCTCGGAGCCACTCGAGGGATCAAGAGGAAAAACAGTGTGCATGTACCTCAGGGTTGGTGTAGCCTTATATACATAACCTACACACAAGCACCTGCAAATTTACGACGAACCTGTAGACTTGTTTGCACAATGACTTCCCCTAAGGCTCAAAATGGCCCAAAAGCCTTATATCGAATGCTCTTTGGGCCCAAAAGCCTTAATATATGAGTCCTTACAGCCTTATAGGGCCTTAGGGTTCCGGCTTCGCAGTACCAAGAGCCTTCCTTTCCTCACACCGAGTACAAGCTCTGCCTCACCGTGGTTCGCCGTTCCATTTTCCGACACTTGGCTGTCCTGCGCAAAGCCGGAGACCATTTTGCTTGGAGGATCAGGGGACTTAGTAAGCTAGGTTATAAGTACCTTCATTGGGGACTATAAGTAATTATAAGTATGGTTACCTTAGTTATAACCCTAGTTACTAAGTCCCATGATCCTTCAAGTTATAAGTACCTTAATTGGGGGTTATAAGTAATTATAAATATGATTACCTGAATTATAACCCTAGTTACTAAGTCACATGATCCTTCAAGTGCGGACTACTCGACGTACTACCTCCTCGGCCCTGAATTTCCCAAGCCCTATAGAGCTCTCAACCCGGAGCATCCAAGCGCCGGGGCTACATGCTCTTACCTTGGGTTAGTAGGGAATGGAGGAATGGGGTAGAGTTATAACTACTATTACTACCCTTCTTCCATTCCCTACTAACCAAAGGTAAGTGCTCGCAGACAACCAGCCCACCCCAAGGCTCAGACCGAGGTGACGAAAAACAGCCACGCTTGCCGGTCATCCGAGGTTCCCCATGCTACGAACACAATTGCTGAGAATTGGGCCTCCGTAGTTAGAGTGGTGTTCTGTTAATTTTATGTGGGGGCAGATTATATCTATGAGAGCAAGCTAATGCTAATCATTCCGACCGCTTTTGATTTTTGCTCCATAGACTCTTGTCCCATTTAGGGCTGCAGAACGCCACAGCCAAAGACTACATTATACCTTTCATGAAAAAGATGCCCTGCTCTATACTGAACTTAGACCCCTAGCAAAAGATATATTTCTATTATAGGAACCAAAAACCAAAAAAATTTTAAGTACCCCTGAATCCTTTGTGTTCAAGGATCCTTGATCAGGGCTTCACGAAGATGAGCCATGTGGAACCGTAGAAGGGCCAGTATAAAACGGCAAAGGGTTTAGGGTTTAGGGGTTTTAGGCGCAGGGTTTGTTTAGCACACACGACCTGGAATGAGCTCCGGATACCCCGAACCATAAAATCAACACGCTCTCAATTCGAGACCTCCTTCTTCCGCCGGTATCGGCTGACGCAGATCACGGCCTGAACCAGGTCCCAACAACAACAGTAGCAGAACCCTTGCAGATCTAACTCAGGAGTCTGTCTGAAGCGTCCCGATGGATGAGACAAACTGAGACAGGTCCCACAAGTAGAACAGGTTTTTTCGAGTATATCATACGATATCTATATTCGGGACTGGAGGATCATTCAGGCCCTGCGTTGGGTTAAATGGGGGTAACAAATAGAAAGTGGTTTTGGGGGACTCTGAGAGTAAACCCAAAACCCCAGGCCCCTCCACTAAACCTTAAGCCTAAACCAAGCTTGGAAGGCAGGGTTTAGGGTTTGGGGCTTCGGGTTTAGGGTATATACTTAGGCCTTGAAGTACCTACTTGGAGGGGCAGGAGACTTAGTAAGTAGACTATAAGTAGAGTTATCAGTACCTTGAAAAGAGCTACCCCAATTATAACCCTACTTATAAACGGCTTACTAAGTCCCCTGCCGGTCCAAGAACCGAAAACCTTTTTGCCACGAAGATGTTCTAGGGTTTTGGGGAACTGTTGAGCGTCAAGATAATGGCTTCCAAATAGGATTGCTGAAAATGTCGTTTTGGGTCTTAGGCTTTAGGGTTTGAGAATTGGGAACTGGGGCCCAGCAGCAGTTGCTTAAATTCAGAGGCTCCATCCGTGTTCAGGGTCCTTCATTCCTTCATGATAAGAATACCCTAAACCCTAAACCCTAAACCGAGCCCCGCTAGCAAGAACTGTTGTGGGACAGAAACCGGTGGGAAGCAGCTGTTCGGGATGCTCCTGTAAATATGTTCGGGAGTTCGGGGCCTGGTCAGGGCTTAGGGTTTAGGGGTTTAGGGGTTTAGGGGTTTAGGGTTTAGGGGTTTAGGGTGTAGGGTTTAGGGGTTTAGGGTTTAGGGGTTTAGGGTTTAGGGGTTTAGGGTTTAGGGGTTTAGGGGTTTAGGGTTTAGGGTTTAGGGATTCTTCCTTTCTCTGCATTGCATTCACAGCAGCCTGAACTCTGAACTTTCTCACGTCTGGTGGTCCTAATCTTGAGTTGTCTTGTTGTGGGTCCCTTCATTTCCGAACCTCCCACCTGCCTCAATTGGACCATAGGACGTCGCCTCTAAGATCGCGGACTTGTAAACACAAGGATTTGGTATGAAGGTTCCTGTGGATTTGGTTCGGACCTGGCCTCCTGACCCCTGACCAGGACCCAAGAGTACCCTAGGAATAAAAAGGGTGCCCTTCTCGGTTTAGAGGGGGTTTTAAGGGTACCTACACCTTAAAAACAGGGGAACAAGGGCCTACTCTGGATCCTAGTGACGGCTTAGGGCTTAGAGTACGGTTTAGGACCCTTGAATATAAGTCGCTGAGCTGAGGTCTTTTTGTAGAGAAGCTTGTTAGGCTCGGAGATGGTCCGTAGGGTGCAAGGCCTTAGTACTTGAATGGTAATCACGAGCCACTCAGGCTTCCTTACTGGGCTTGGTGGCGAGGTTTAGGTGTTAGGGGATGGTTAGAAACACAGCACACAGGAAACCCAAAAGCTTTAGCCTGCCTTTACCGCCTCCATAATGCTGCTCGCATCATGGCTCTTCAGCCTTGAAAATTGAGTAGGGGGCTGTCTACATGTGAGGTTTAAAGCTTTGGGTTCAGAGTTCCTGAATCTGCTGCGGGTTTCATTACAGGTTGGGAACAAGGGTTTGAACGAGGAGTTGGGAATTGGGTTTAGGGTTCTTGGATGTTATTGGCTAGACCCAAGAGTAACCTAGGAATAAACAGGGTGCCCTGTTCGGGTTAAAGGGGGCTATAAGGGTACCTAAACCTGAAAAAGGAAGAAGGGCCTACTCTGGGTCCTAGATTACTAGGAGTGAAGCCCCCTGCTTGTCGGGTATCATGGGGAACGAAAGGTTTGGATGGGAGATTTATGCAGGGCCTTTCATGAAGGATGGGGAATCTATACGGAACTTAAAACCCTAGCAAAAATTGTAATTTTAGCTGTTTCTTGGGGATTATAATAACCAAAAATTAAAATGTATTTCTAAGTACCCTTCTGGAATGCGGATCGGCGTGGAGGCACAGGATCTCTTACTTGGGTCAAGAGCTTTTGCAAGTACGGAAGTTTGGTCAAACCTACCATATCGTATGATAAATATATACATATACATATGTATAGGTATAATGTATTAAGAATGTACCATTCTAGTTGTATGGAAGACAAAAAATTGTATGTACTTTATCGTTGTGTGGTCGTATGTAGTAGACTATATGCAGTGACTGTAGTGGTATACTATAGTGCTACATTTTATGCGTATGGGATCTGAAGCGGTGTGAGCTTGTGAGCTTTCAGGATTTCGGACTTCGGGCTAGGGTAGGTCGGAGCTTCAAACAGCTGCAGGTGGAGTATAGTATAGTCTAGCGTAGTGTCGTGCCGCACCAGTGTGGTGTAGTAACCTATCGTACCAGTACCGTATAGGTTACTGTAGTATCGTATTGGTCTACTAAAGTATGCATGCTATTTCTATGACTCTGACCTCTGTCCAGAGATACGACCTGTGAACAAGACCCCAACCCTAAACCCTAAACCAATTATACGAAACCGACACCTAACTTCCAGCCTTCCCGGAGTTGCAGTCACTGAAACACACCCTTAGAACCATAATAAAAAATCCAATACTCTGTTGGGTTTTATATGAACAAGTATTTAAAAATAATTCCTAAGAGAATATAACCATAGCACACGTTCTTCCGTTGACAGCAACCCTGGGCTCCCACTAACTCACGCTCAAACCCGCAGGAAGCTCCTAAGCCCGAGCACAACACCCCATATAACATAATGATATCATATGGGCCTTAATAAGTAGTATATGTACGTGCCTTTAGGGTTTTGGGGGCCCATTCTATTACTAGTACAATAAGGCAGGCAATTATTAAGGTCCCTATACTGATTGCATGATGCCCAAACCCGAAGGAAGCGCGTGAGCCCGAGCGCAACAAACACCCTAAACTGCAAGCTCTGAGCACCAAACCCTAACGTAGGGGCCTTAATAATTGGAATAGGGCTTTGGGGTCGATTATACTATACTTGGAATAAGCAAGCCCCAAAATAGTATTGGTAATTATTGAGGTCCCTATAAACACAAAAAGCCCTAAACCGCGTCTCCCCTTTCAGGCAACATATCATCCTACTGACTGCGGTATATCGGGCGAGCTCCGTTAAGGACTCCAAATACGCACTTCAACAAAAACCATGAAGAAGAAGAAGAAGAAGAGCTTTGTAGTGCATCCGCCGCCGGTCGACGTCGCACCAAAAACGGAAAAGAAGAGAAAGAAGAGGACAAGCGCGCCACCAACGCGCCAAGTCCTAAGCTGGGAAGAGACACACCAGAGATCACCAGAGCATGTCCTTAGCTGCGGAAGGACCTTAGCCAAGGTTTCATAAAAAGGCACAGAAAGAGCAAACCGCTCAAGCCTCCTCCAGCAGAGCCGTGTGGACTCACAGCTGTTTCAAGCATCAGACCAAGATGCGACGCACCTTAGCAGCAGCAACCCGGGGGCGCTGCTACAGGGGGGAAGCCAGGCAAGGCATTCCTTTAGCTGAAGTCTTCAAGAAGACTCTCAAAAGAAGGCCACTCAAGCCTCCTCTCGCGGAGTTGTGTGAGTACACTCCCACAGCTGCTTCTGACATCTGACCAGATGCCGACGTACCTTAGTAGTAGCATCACGAGAGACGCTGTTGACTTTCCACCCGAAGCGTGCCACAGACGGGTTAGAGGGCCTAGCAGGCCTGTCAACGAGAGCATCAGGGGAAGAGCATTCCCAAGAGATATGCCGCCACGTGCCAAGACGACGACAACCAGGCCGTACGCAACAAGAGGAAGCGTGTTCCGGACGACCACTCACAGCACGCCAAGTCGCAGGACTAAAGGAAGCTCCCAGAGCCACCGTGGCAGCGGGAGCTGCACTCGAGGCCCACTTCCTCACGTCCTCCCAATCAGCGTCAGGGAAAGCAGCGCCGCCAACCCCTCGAAGACACAGACCACGAACTTCGTGCCTGCCACTCTCCAGCCAACGCGACGCACACCAAGCTCTCCAACCAACTCGGACCTGATGTTGCAGAAAGTCGTGACGGTTCCGCTGCGGAGCAACAGGAGTCGTCAAGTCAAGATCAACAGCAGAAGACACATGCTTCCACCTCCAAGGCGCAATGAGAGTCCAACCACGCTCAAGCAGCCAACCATGCAAGGCAGCCGAAGGCGAACCACGCAACAAGGACCAGGGCAAAGGGGAGATGGCAGAGCGCATAGCCCACGCACCAACCAGTCTGGTGGCCCACAAGCAATCCAAGTGCACATTGGCGCCAAACACCAAAGCCCGGACCCAGGGGGACGAGTATCTCACCCTATGGGCATGTTTGAAAACCATGAGCTCGGGATATTCCAGAATCCCGCCCTGAAAGTAAACCATAAACTAACGATATCCCACCCTAAACTGTAAGCCCAAAGCCCTGTTCATGTGTGGGTGCTGGTGGGTTCCTGATCCTGGGCTTCCAGCGCACAGGACGCTGAGAGGTGGCAAGTCAACGGCCGATGGGTCCTGGGCCCTTTTTAAAGGATTTCTGGAAATAGGGTTTACGGTTTTAGGGTTTATGGGGTTTTAGGGCCCTTTTAAAGGATTCCTGGAAATAGGGTTTACGGTTTTAGGGTTTATAGGGTTTTAGGGGTTTGGGCTCCTGGAGGTGTGTTGTAATTAGGTGTGACGTCTAGGGCTTCTAGAGGGTTTTATGGCAGCATGGGATTCTTTCGGGGGTCCTGTGGCTTTTGCAAAAGTTCGGTCAGGGGGTTCTTTTCTTGAAGCCTTCAGGATTTTCTGCAAAGGTGTAGAAAGGCTGTCTGAGGCACTACATACGTCCAGGGTTGATGGCCTCTGTCCATGCTCTCGAACCACACCGGGCTTTAGATAGGCCTGTAGTGACGTAGAAAGCTCAGGCGTTCGAGGTGCATGCGCCTGTCTATCAAACACTCGTAGGGCGTGGGGTCTTCCACGGGTCCATGCGACTTCTGCTGTGTAGGCTTGAGCCTCGGCGTGATTGAATTCAACACAGACCTTCTCACGGCTCCATCCCGAGAGGGTCTTATGTACTGTTATGAGGAGTACTTCCCTAAGTCATAATAGCAATTCCTAATATGGAAACCCTATTTTCTACTATATCGTTACATAGGACCCTGTGGGATCATCATCGTTGTCTTCATCCTCATCGTCATAGCGATCAGTTCATGCTGCGCGCACTAGTCCTCCGTGACCTGAGGATGTGTCAGCACCGATGCTTTAGTACAGGGCTCGTATCCAAGCAATAGTCAGAGTCCGCGCAGGTCCTAGCCATCATCTCATGATCCTCTCCATCGTCATGATCATGACAAAAGGTCAGTTGTAACATTGTAACATACTATGCCCGTCGACCTTGTCCCCTCAAACGTAAGACGCCGTTTTTTGTCGTGGTTATGGCCATCTTGGAAAGTGCAGCTCACATCTAGAAACATGTAGAAACTGTACAAAGTCAGGTTCCCTTCTATGAGCCCTTCGAAGTATCTACCCATAGGCCCCAAAGTAGTTCCTTTTTGGGATTACCTTAAAGGATTCTGTATATGAACCACAAAAAAGAACTACTTTGGGGCCTATGGGTACAGCCCAAGCTCTCATTTTCCTGAAACTTACATGGGTGGTTGTCAAAATTAGGGTCCCTTTTTGGGTCCTTAATATAATGCGGCACGTATTATTCTAAGGTACCCAAAAAAAGGACCCTAATTTTGACAGAAACCCACATGTACAGGAGCAGGTCTTCTCATCGCGGGCATGGTTCAGGGGCCCTTTGAATCTTCAAACCTGATACTTAGTTGCTGAGTTCATAAGCCCCCCAAAAGTGTACACTTTCAGTTTTATAGTGGGTAATGTTATCCCAGAAAGGTGTAAAGTGTATCCACTCAGCTACTAAGGATAATGTCGGGTTAGGGACTGAAGGCTTAAAATCTGATAGATTCGGATCAGGGGTGTGTATAGGTTTCAAGGCTTAGGATTGTAGGGTTTAAGGCGTAGTATTTAGGGATGGGGACTCTTAGGGTGACCTGCAAGCCTGAGTTTGAACTTTAGCCAGTTCAAGACCTTACGTTCCGTAGGGTCCAGGTTGTTTTTACCCCTCCGCTGTTGGCTCGCACCGAAAGCTGCAATTTGAGGGCCGGTAAGTTGATACTCTCCAAATGCTCTGCTATGGGCTTTACGCTATGGGTTGAAGCTTTGCATCAAGAATCAAAGATCCAGGCACTCATATTGCGCAGAACTGCTCGCAATGAACTGCAAATTTGAGCAATTCGCCACGACACCCGGTCAGGCATTGTGATGCCTAGTGAAGAAAAACATGAAGAGAGTCGAGCTGGGTGCAGGCTGAAGTACAGTGAAAATACTGTATAAGAACCCACTGTTTAAGAACCTGAGCCCCTACCCAAGGCGGAATTCACCAGATTCAAATTGCCTCAATGTTAAGAACCTTAGGGTACCCTAGTTTTTTGGGTCAGGTTCTTAATTTTTTGAATGCTTTCCCTCACCAAGGAAATTTGGAATCGAAAACTAAATTTCCGAACCCTCCACATCAAGAAGCCCTCTGCCCGAACATAATGAACGTATGATGGCTGGGCAACAGCAGGCATGCCACAGTGCAGTGGTTGTGCATGAGTTCTGGAGACAAGAGATCTTGTCTCGAACCCCATTGGTGTCATGCACTGAAAATTTAGAATTGAAATCTAAATTTTCCAAACCTCCAGCATCCTGCCTGTGCTTCCATGATTCCAAGGCACCAGGAAATTTAGAATTGAAAAATAGTTTTTCCACAACAGCCTCCTACTGGCCCTGTGGTTCCAGGCCCAAGGCTTCGACCCACACCCCCGGCACCAGGAAATTTAGAATCCAAAAGTAAATTTTCTGGAGGGCTGCGGAAATTTAGAATTGAAAACTAAATTTTCCAGACCCCCATGGCCCACCGCCCCCCACCAGGAAATTTTGAATCCAAAAGTAAATTTTCTGGAGGGCCCCTGGCCGTGCCCTCCGCCCCGAGTCCTTTCGACGAGCTGTGGAAATTTAGAATTGAAAATTAAATTTTCCAGATGGCCCACCGCCCCCCACCAGGAAATTTAAAATCCAAAAGTAAATTTCCTGAGAGCCCTTGGTCCATTGGTCAAGGTACCGGATAAGAAGGTGGTTAAGAACCTGAGCCTACCCTAGCTGCTCGAACGGCAAAATCACATGTAATGGAAATTAAGAACCTTAGGGTACCCTACTCTCGCCGAACGGGGTTCTTATACAGGGTTTTCACTGTAGTTCAATTCGGAAGATTGTCCCTCTAGCTTTTGGAATTAAGAAACCTTTCACGTTGATTGGGGCTCCTTATATGAATCTGTTGGTCGCCTTGACCACCGGAGTTCGAGGGCTGGGCCATGGCACGTCTTCTATATAAGAGATTTATGATTTCGAAGCACAAACTCAAACGGATAGACACACCAGTATGTAATCCCCACTCAGACAAGACAAAACGCAAAATCAAGCGCCGAAGATCCCTGAACGAACCTAAGGGCCTGACCAAAGGGAGGGGTCCAAACGAAGAGGGTCACCGGCCTGAGCCTAAACACCCTTCTCAAATTTCCCCAACCCCAAACCAAAACGCACAACCCTCCTACCTGCGGCCCGGATGGCCTTTCCTCGGAGAGCTCGTCCTTTTGCATCCTTGAGCCAACGCGTCGTCGGCATATCCTTGCAGAGACACACAAAGTCCCTCGAAGAAGTTGCCAGCCTTCTACCGACTAAAGCGGCAGGGCCTTGATAACCTTCAGTTATCAGCACTCCTCCTCCCCTTAGGGCCATCCGACAGGGGTTAAGCCCTGCCAGACAGTCCTCTCAGGATTCGAAGAATTAATTTGGCGCCAAGTCCGTGGCTCTACACTACAGGTATCCGACCGGCTCTAAACCAATCGGGCCATCTGTCTATGTGCAGCCCACCATCTCAGAAAAACCAGTCTTGCAAGAAGGATTTTAGGAGCTTCAACTCCCCATCGTCATCAGCCTCTGTTGCAAAGCTGACAAAGGTGCCGCTGCTCTGTTCTGCCTCCCGCAACCAAGGACGAACAAGTGTCCCTAGCGTGAATGCACTTCCCATTCTTGGTCACATACAGCGGCGTAGTATACTGGATCGTAACTTCTCCTTGAATCCTCCGAGGCTCAGTCTGAACTGCTTGATCTGTAGTTCGCCCTCGCCTTCTCCTAAAGGTGCCCCTGAGCTCCTCAAGGTGTGGGGGATCATCAAAGCTTCCAGTAGGATATGGTGGAGGCGGAGGAGGGTATGGATGCTCCTCGCCCCCGGTGGCATATGTAGGAGGAGGCACTGGATGTCCCTGAGAAGAAGAGCTTGAAGAAGACCACGTGGCTTGACTACCCAAACCCATTCCCTGAAGCTCATCTCGTACAGCACTCTGCAGCTTCCTAAGACGTCTAGCTTCTCGCGACTCAGGCTCTTCAGGATATAGCCTCCCCCAAATCTTCTTGGCAACCTCCCAAATGGCTATCCCAGCAACTACCAGAAGAAAAACCATGCCATATAACTCCCAAGCGAAATTGACCTCGATGTCAGGCTTGGACTTCTTGCCAGCAACAGGCTGCGTCAAACAGAAAAGCACCACAGCAAGGCGTGCAACTGCATGAACCCAGGTAACCCTTAAACCTGCTACATGATTGCTTGTCTTGCTAGTCGTTTCTGCTTGCGGTATCGCTGCTGGAGAAGGAATACGAGGTCGATCATCTTCACTTTGCACCAAACCCCAAAGTTCAAGTAGCTCAAAAAGACGAACTGCATCAAACCCCTTGGTTCCAAGATCAGCTTTCTGCAGAAGACCTGGGATATGTCGGATAACCAGAACGCCTTCTCTAACAAGTTCTCGAAGCGCACCCGCACGGACGCGCAAGTGTCTCGTGCGCCATGTGCCTGGTGCATCGGTGCACAAGCCAACAGCTGCACTGTTGTCAACAAGCAACAGAAGATGAATCTCGGAAGCGTTGATCTCTGACGTCAATGATGAAATTCCTGCCTGAAGCTGAACCGCTGCAACCGCTTCTATCAACTCGCTCTCTGCCGTGCTCAGTGCTATCAGGCTCTGGCGCCCGGAGCGCCAAGCCACTGCATTGCCATTGTAGGTGATCAGAGAGCAGCCAATAGACCTTCCGCCTGATGGGCTGAAAGAGGCATCCGAGTAGGCCACAACAGAGTGTTCCGGCTCATCACTGCTTCCGAAGAACATAAGAGATAGCTGCGAAGTAGCAAACAAGTAGGCAAGAACCCGCTTCCCGATTCTTTCAACCAGGATTGGATCTCGCAAACAAAGAGAGCTCATGCTGGAAACCGAATGCATGAGGTCTGGTCTCGACTTCGTACTAAGCCACAACAGCTCACCTGTCATCTGCTGGGCCTTTCTCAAGCTCACTTCATCATACACAGCCTGCTCCACTTCGCCCTCGCCGATGAGCCACTCTCTCGGACATGGAGTTCTAGCACCGGGGCCATTCGTTAGATCATGATGACGTAGGAGCTCACGCAAGTAACCAAACTGGCACATCTTATATCCCACTTTGGACTTATAGATTTCCAAACCGAGAAACCTTATACCATCCACATCAGACGCCCATGTCAAAGGACTGGAGGTCCACTCAGCGCTCAACCACGCATGAACATCTGAAATCGTGCTTGGCTCTCCGAGATACAAGATGTCGTCAACATAGACCACAATGTAGGCGGCCACAAAATCTGGCTCCTCGCTGCCCTCTTTTAGAACAACGACCTGCCAGATATTCTCATCAGCAACCAACCTTCTGAGAACCGCCACACGATTTCCAACAAGGCTCTGAAGTGTGATCCTGGCTTTCTTGAACCTAGCATCTCGAAATAGGCCCCAAAGGCGTGGAGAGCGTCTGAAGCCGTAAAGGGCCCGATCTACACGGTAAAGCCAATCCCATTCTGGACCCAAAGCGAGAAGAAACACTTTCGGAAACCGCAGCCCATACGTAGCATCAGTGCACATCGGAGCTAACACAAAGGCGTTCCGAATGTCTGTCACCGCTGCGTCCCATAATGGCTTGGATGAAGCGTGGGAAACCATAATCCTCAGGGATTCCGTTTGGCAACCTCCGGCATACAACTCCTCACTGATATTCTTCTCGAAATTGCCACAAATGACCAGTCTTGCTTTACGCTTGTATAGGGCATCAACTGGAATCGAACCCGACCTATGAGAGCTCTTTGCTGACTGGACACCGTCTGGGAACTCTAGCTGGTCCTGCGGCTTTGACTGGATTGCCTCCGCAGCTGCTTGAAGGTCGGGGGGCTTGACAGTAAAGACGCCCTTGGCCGGTAAGATCACTAGCTTGCCCTCGCGCTGAAGGCGGTCTTCTTCGGCCGCGTCCAGCTTAACCAAGGCCCCACAATTGATCAACGCCTGAACCTCCTTCCAAATCGCCTTTTTCCAAGCCGTAACATTCTCCCGGACCTCCCCAAGCGTCAGAGTGTACACAACCTGCAAGGGAGCATTCAGATTTCTCAACAGCTCTTCAACTCCATGTTGTTCTCCACTTTCAACAAGCCGACACAACCGGAACCATTTAAGACTGTCCAGATCACCTGCATCGTCACATCGATTGGCCTCAGCTGCCTCTAGTGCTTCACAGAGATGCATCGCCTTGACATTCACGCGGGCGATTGCGTCCCGCTCCTCCTGGTCTAAGATGCCAGGACCAATGGACTCTATCTTCTCCTCTTCATCAAGGAGCTTCCTCACGTTAACAAGACTCGATTCTGCAGCCACGCTTTGCACGAAATGCTCCTCCTCATCAGAGGTCTCGCAATAATCAAACTCCACATGCTCCTCCTGAAGGCGTAGCTGGCTCAACGTAGTTTCTTCACACCGAGGAACAAGGAAGCCGCAATCCCGCAGCTCTTGCACCTTTGCTTCTGGTAGACGAGCAAATCCACGATTCACATAGGCAATGATGGTCCACTTCGTGCCCTTCCATGGGAGACTCTTGTGGAGTCGCCTCGGATTGAACTTCACCACCTGATTTTCAGTAGGCACAACAGAGCCGTCAACTTTCTGCCCATCGGGAAGGGTCAAGGACATTGACTCCAAGCCATCATGGAATCCTTCGACCCACAATCCACCCTGCTCATAGGCTCCGCACGAAATGACTATGTTCCTCATGCCATTCACGTTATAGCGATCGCGGTGCAGCCCAGTTTCCAAATTTCTGGCCACAACCACGCTTGTGAAAGGATCGCTCTCTCCTGAGTGTCTCCGGATGAACGCCGTCAGGTACTGCACCAGCTCCGGATAGTCCCGCGTGGCGTTGGTCACGCCAGTGAAGTTGCCATGCTGGTAGGCACCAAAGGTTACATAAACATCTGGCCCAGGATCTCCCCAAGCCTCTGTGTTCCTAGTCTTAGATGGCTTCTTGAAAGGAGTATCCTCAAGAATTGCGAAGCAGTCCTCCAAGGCATACCACTGCTTCTCATGGGACACCTGGGCCAAAGGCTTCATCACATCGCCCTTGGGAAGATATTCAACCTTCGCAACCGACTTAATCTCAGACACCGGGAGGGACTCAACAAGGAGATCATCGCGCTCTTCTTGCTTCCCCTTTGACAAAGAAGAACTCCTCAAAGCCTTCAAAGGTATAGGTGCGACTGGCGGCCTTTTTCCGGAGATTCTCCTTCTAGCTGCCAAGGTTGAGGGATCCGGCTCCATGGGAACATCAGGTAGCTGTCGGACATTGCAGGTGTTCCACAGATGATTGTCGTCAGTTAGAACAACATGACCCGCAGGAACATCCCTCGCTGGCCCCAAGTAGACCGCGCTGCTCCACTTAGGATCAAGATCACGAGCCTCAGCACCATATCTCTTTCTTTTCACGAAAACCTTGGTTCCAAAGCCTGCCGGGGGATTTGACTCGAGACCGAACACCAAAGATCTCTGACGCACAGCTGCCGTCTCAGCGGCCATCGGCCACCACGTCTTCACTTCTTTGATGTCCCTTCCACTTGAGTCCTGCGCCGATGCAAGCAAGATCCGAGTTCGAGACTTCAGATATTTCACCGCTTGTTCCGCAGTGCCGTTCTGCGCTGGCGCATCACCTTCGGACCTTGTCACGAGAATGTCTCTCGACGCGGCCCAAGCTGAGACCGCAGGCGTGCGAAATTCTCTCGCACGGTCCGAATGAAGTCGACTTACAGGTAGTCCCAGCATTTTCACATCGATATACACTTCTTGTAAGGCACGAAGGACCTCAGTGGATTTTCTGGATCTGAGTGGTCGCACGAAATAAGCCACAGCAAACTCCAGCGGCTCAAATGCTTTTGCAGCCTCCTCTTCAGGACTAAGGCCACTCGCATCATCAGCTTGAGCACCGCCATCCTTCTCAATGATCACATGCTTATCAGCGCCACTCTCCTCAATGATCTCATGCTTATCATCACCGCCCTCCTCCTCGAAGAGCAACTCCTCGAGGCCCGCGCCCGCACCAGTATCATCATCAACAGACTCATGCTGAGCATCTGGGGTTCCAGGAAGCTTAGGAAACTGGTAAGCGCATACCAGCATAAAGCGATGCTGATTGGTCTCGGTATTCACCCCCTTGACCCGGAACGGTCCAGCTACATCTGCAGAGAGAACATAAGCAGATTTATGAGTCACGCGGCGATGAGGTCGTCCTGCTGCTGACTGAACACAATGCTTGCAATCCTTGCGAAATGGAATGTGGTCCCGGCTCACGTGTAGTTGCCACTCCTTCGCAGTCATCTTACATGATATTGGGGGTGAACCTGCAGCTACAGAGCAAAGCACCGACTCATGCACTGAAAAACCCGTCCAGGCATTAACGGCTTCACCAATCGCCTGCGCATACTCACTGGCCCAAACTCCAGAAGTCGTGGTAGTTGATGTTAGAGAGTTCAAGGCCTCCAGGTACATATTTGTTCCCGTAGAGCCGCGTCCTGACTGAACCACCTCCATTCCATACACCTCCGAAAAGCCTTTCCACAAAGAGCTTGACCAAACATTTCCCTGGGCTACGACCTTGTCCGGATGCTCCAAAGCAAAACCCAGCCGATCGCTGCGATGCTGGCGTCGTCCTTCCATAGCCACCATTGCCAAGACCAACATCCTGATCACAAGCGGCTCCTCCTTGGTCCTCTTTTCATCATCATCGACCAAATAAGATCTTCTCGGTGGGCCTCCGATCAAAGTCCTGATCTTTCCACGAGCCGCTCCCCATAGAAGAACCTTGAAGACGCCGTCCATCCTGGTCACATCCATCAAAGCCGAATCCAAGATATCGACCTCAACGTTGACACCCGAGGCCTCAGTAACAGACAACCTGGAAGTAGTAGATGTCGTACTCGTTGGCCTCGAAGGTCCAGAGAAAAGATGCACATTCCAATCGTTGGATCGATACAGCGACCTTCGCTTCCTTCTGGACCATGGCATAGACTTGAGAAGCTTCCATCCATCCACGTCACGCAGGGGAATGTCCTCTGCTGCCGTGGCAATCGTATCCAAGGAGACGTCCTTGAGGAACGGGGCCTTAGTGAGAGCTCCCAGCAGCTCCACGCGCTTTCCAGTGGTGACATAGCTCTGAACATACTCGAACCACTCCATAACATGTTCGCTCTGAGCCACTCTCATCTCCAAGGCCTTAACCGTATGGTTCATCTCCATCAACCGCTTCTCCTCGAGCTCGCTAATAAGGCGGAGCGCCTCATGCTCGGCCATCTGTGGGCAGTAGTCCCGAACTTGAACTTTCAGCCGTCCATGAATTGGATGATTCACGATGAGGCGGTTCTTGGACCATCGCACAGTGCACCCAAGAATTTGGACAAGTTGCCCCAATGGGACCAACGTCTCCGCTGAAGCATCCCCCAAGAGCGTTCCAGATTTTGTCTGCAACAACGTAGTCTCGCCCTCGGCAAGTTTCACACTTACCGGTTGAGCTCGCTCCTGCTCTTCACGATCAGCTGCCCTTCGATAGGCATGACTAGCACCAGAATCCAGGAGAGCCATCTTCTCCCCGAGGCTGCTCAAAGTGAACTTCTGCAATCTCCGAGCCAACATTTGCAAAGGGTCTTGCACAGCAGGAGGAGGTTGAGCACCGGTGGTGAGAGAGCCCGAAGAAGTAGAGGTCAAAGCCTTTAGCACCTTGGTTGTCTCAGCCAACACCTCCTTGAGCGAATCATTGGAGACTTCAGGATGAATGGGAGGATCAGCTGCCGCCATAGCTGCCACAGACATTGGTGCCGTAGCTGGAGGTGGTAGAGGAGGTGGACTCTTTGCCGTAGCCGTGGTAGGAGCAGGTCCACCCGAGCACACCGTAGCCAAGGCTTTAAGCTCCTTCTTGTTCAGCCCCTTTGGGCTAGGGCTATCATTCGCCGGCTCGAGCTCTCTCCTTGGGCAATCTTTCACCTTGTGCATCTTGCTTCCGCAAACCAGGCACCTTTCAGACTTCACCACTTGAGACCAATCATGAAGAAATCGACAAGATCTCCCTCGGCTACAACCTTGATCCGATACAAACCACTTGCACGACCCCTTCCCATCGCCCTTGCCGTCCTTGGGGGCCGAAGGTGAGCTGCCCTTTGGTTGGACCTGAGCCGCACGAGCTCTGGCTTGAACATCATCCCCCGCCGTGGTAGTAGAGCTCGCTGTGGTAGCTGATGTACTGTTCACATTGCTCCGGCTCTTAGTATGTCCAAGCTGCTCCACCTCGGCCAACAAGTGTTGGAAGAACTTCAACGCGGTCTCTTGAGTGGGCCTGCTCTCGGTGCGAAGCTCTGTTCTCGCCAAGGCTATCTTAAATTGCAGATCATGATTTTTCTCAGAGATCTTCCTCACGATAGAGGACAGCGCCTTGATTTGCACTGATGGATCCGGCAACGACAGCTGAAGGTCACGAGCACGCTGAAGCCATCGAAACCACCTCCGAAGAGCAGCAACAACCTCTGTCACATCATTCGGCCCGTCCTTCGGCTCCAACTGCGCCAAAACCAAGGCCCTGTCTGAGCTGCCACCAGGCTGGTAACACACCAACAATCGAAACAACTGCTGGTGCACACGTTGCACCCGATAGGAAACCATCTCATCTCTCATGGCTTGGGGCAGTGCCGCAACCAAAAGGGCCGCAACGCGTTTCTCCAGCTTGAGATACTTCGGATCATCCAACTCGGGGGGCAACTCGGCTTTAACTGTCAGCCTCTGGATTGGAGTAGAAGCCTGATAGACCCCATAGGCCTTCATAGCGGCAGCCAGAAGACCTGACCACCAAGACGACGCGCCAGAAGCAAGGCTTCCAACCTGCTGCTCCACCAAGTAAAGCCAGTCCTGAAAGTCGATGGCTCCTGACTCCGCTGAATTCTCTTTCAACTTTGGAAACTCCACAACAGACTTCGAAGGATCATACTCAGCGGTATCACTTCCAGACTTCCCCCTCAGGAGCACTTCTTGAATCTGCGTCATGCCAGCGACCAAAGCCTCTAAAGGGTTACTCGCCAAAGCAGCCTTAGGCCTCGAAGCAGTGCCCGAGGAGCTCGGTGGCGGCGGAGCTGGACCTGAAGTATATCCAAAGTCGCCATCTACAGGAGTTGAGGCGGAACCATATGGAATTCCAGGAGGAGGTGGAGGCGGAGACACTCTCTCCCGACTCATCGTCCTTGATCTAGCTCGACTCCCATAATCACCACGAAGACGACCCACTGGAGTGGAAACCGCTGGAGGGACTGGACCCTCAGAGGCTCCGCACACATCGCCCTGTAGTAACCCCGAGAACGGGTAGCCAGTCTGACTACTGAGAGACTGCGTCCCAGGCAAATCATCTTCACGATCCAGATCAAACTGCACTCCGAGAGACCTTCCGCTGGGGCCACCGAAGGAGAAAGACTGCGACCAATCATCAGAAGCCCTTGTATGCTGCTCAGAATAAGCCCGATCACCAGGAAGTACACTCTGCTGCACCAGCGAAGCCCGATCACCAGGAGGTACAGGTGGCTGCACAGCCAAAGCCCGATCACCTTGAGATACGCTTTGCTGCAAACCCAGAGCCCGATCACCTGGAGATACACTTTGCTGCACAACCAGAGCCCGATCACCTTGAGGTACGCTTTGCTGCAAACCCAGAGCCCGATCACCTGGAGATACACTTTGCTGCACACCCAGAGCCCGATCACCTTGAGGTACGCTCTGCTGCACCAGCGAAGCCCGATCACCGTGCGGTACTGCTTGCTGCAAACTCAGAGCCCCATCACCGTGAGGTCCTTCAGCCGGCAGCGTGCCGTACTGATCACCTCGCGGTCCACTCTGTCGCTCCTCCAAGGCCTGTCTGGCCCTCAACAACTCATTCTCTCGACGCAGCTCTTCAATCGTAGCAGTCTGCATTCGCATAGCTTCCATGACCTGTCGTCTCACTTCTTCTTGAACCAGCTCTCTCGGAATCGATGTAGAAGAGGCCCTGTCGGAGCCTTCTTGTTGAGCTGCCGAAGAGCTCCCATACAGAAGAGGGGCCTGAGTAGCCCATCCTTCCATTGTCTGCTGTGCAGCTGCTGAAAACAAAGGAGGCACCGTTGAGGTAGACGCTGTAGCTTGCTGCTGTCGCAGGTCCGCTGAATGTAGTGGTGATGTTGAATGTCGTCTGTAGGTATGCTCCTGCTGAACCACTAAACCACCCTCCCTAGACCCACTTAGCTGTTGCCTCGTAAGCGCCGTAAACGTCTCGACGGGTCCGGTTGCTCGCTGCAAGAACTCATTCAGCCGTCCCATCCACCTCAGCGCGGGAGGCCATTCAGCCGTCGCACTGGGGCTTCGTAGCTCGATCGATTGAGCTCCTGATGGCGCCCTCACATCCAGGCCAGAACCTGCCAAACTCCCGACAGGAAGCCTCGGCGGCGCCGGCTGCTGCTCAGCAACTGGATCTAACGCACCATGTTCTCCTCCTGATCCCATCACACTCGGCGACCAGGGGAGTGATTGCATACTCTGGGGCGAAGCTTCCGGTCTATCCACACCATTCGGCAGCAACGGAAGTGCAGCTGCATAGTCTGGGGCCGTATCTTCGCCTTCAATGCCAGGCCCTGCAGTTTGGGCTCGCATAACCTGTTGGTCGCCTTGACCACCGGAGTTCGAGGGCTGGGCCATGGCACGTCTTCTATATAAGAGATTTATGATTTCGAAGCACAAACTCAAACGGATAGACACACCAGTATGTAATCCCCACTCAGACAAGACAAAACGCAAAATCAAGCGCCGAAGATCCCTGAACGAACCTAAGGGCCTGACCAAAGGGAGGGGTCCAAACGAAGAGGGTCACCGGCCTGAGCCTAAACACCCTTCTCAAATTTCCCCAACCCCAAACCAAAACGCACAACCCTCCTACCTGCGGCCCGGATGGCCTTTCCTCGGAGAGCTCGTCCTTTTGCATCCTTGAGCCAACGCGTCGTCGGCATATCCTTGCAGAGACACACAAAGTCCCTCGAAGAAGTTGCCAGCCTTCTACCGACTAAAGCGGCAGGGCCTTGATAACCTTCAGTTATCAGCAGAATCCTACTATTTTGGGATTATTGGCCCAAGGTGTCTTAGTCAGGTTCCTAATTACTGTTTGTGTTCGGGCAAGGAACCAAGCCTGGGACGCAATGTCCGAAATCGCGGGGGCACGCAGATATTCGGGCGGTCCAGTGTGTATTGCCTACATCGCAAGATCTCTTGCAATCTTGCAACTTACAGCCGCCTACGATGCACGCCATCTCAGTAGATCTTAAACCCCCAAACCAGGAAGCCAACCCCCCCCTCATACACCATGATAGCTTTCACTGCGGACAACTCAACCGAACCGCGGAGATACTTGCACCATGAAGGTCTGAACCGGGGTTGTTCTGCTACTCACCCGCAGACCGCTTGGCCATTATCTTGCAATGGCCGGCTGTCATGATGTCCGGCAAGAAACAGCAAAGACTTATGTAGACTGTCCAGCTGTAGAAAGGGAGGGGGGTTTGTTAGTCTGGTGGCTACAAGATATGGCTTAATCAAGGGGTTTGGATGTCTCTAGCTGCAAATTTCGACAGACTCCGAAACCCCTGCATTTGGGAATAGACTGTAAATCCTAGTCATAGTAAGAATGCATCCATAATCTCTCTCTGGAAATTATTCCGTATTTACAGGCTTTGCAGCTCTATGATTGTATCGTGAAACCAGTCTTTGAACGAAGCTTAAACTCAGAGCTTCAGTGTTCAGGCCCCAAGCCCCGCGAGATACTAGGCTATGACCACGAACTTACAGGGTATGATCTCGAACACACTTTTTTGTAGGACCCAGAAGTAAAACCCTAAACGCCAAACAGTAAACAAACCGAAGATCTGAACCCGTAGCCCCATCACAACGCTGAAAACCCTACACTCTCCAGCACCGCTTGAGGGTTTAGGGTTCAGGTGTTTAGGGTTTAGGGTTTAGGGTGTGTAGGGGTTGTGGGTCTTGCACTTCTTGCCGACATCCTCAGAAACATCTCCAGAAGCGAAGCAAGGAGAGGCTTGGTCCTGCCAGGCACAGGAATCCCAGGCGGCTGGAGATGGTTTGTCATTCAAAGCCCTGAACCGCAATTCTCCTTCAAGGGATCTGCACAGGTGCCGTAGGGGTCCTAAGGAATAGTCGTTTGTTTTACACTTCAGGCTTCTAAACCAGGGGTGCAAAAGCCACGTTGAAAGGGATGTGCGAGGGGTAACTTCTAGGTCTAGACAGTGTTTTTGTGAGGACAGGGTTCTATACGGGTTGTATGTGGGTTCTATCGAAGCACCAGCAGATTCCTTTACTCTACGGTTTCATGTACCCCATTGGTGTTGGAAAGCGGGGACGAGTTTTTGTTTTGGGCCTGGGGAGGTTTCTACACTTCGATGGTTTTTGTTGCTATTTAGTACAGTTTTGAGGCGGCTCTAGAAAAGTTTCTCTGACTTTTCAGCTTCTGCTCGACTTTGCCCGAACGACAGCCCAGCGGAGAACGGTGTAACATCAACGACCCTAGCATACAAACCCTAAGACTCCAAATACACAAATACTACCTACTACGTTCTCCAAAGTTTATAAATAGTACCTACTTGAACTACTTGAGCACTTTGGAGTCTTAGGACATTAACCCTAACCCAATAATTCTGCAGAAATAAACGTCAACCTCAAACCCCGAAGCCTACGCCCCATGTTTCCCTGCAACAACTTGCTACTTGTCGGGTATCATGGGGAACTAAAATTTATGTAGGGGTTATATGGGGGCTATACTACCCAAAAAAAGGTTAAAAGGTTACCTACTTTACTACGAGGGCAAACAGAGCCCCCGTCTGAGTCATATACCCTAAATACCCACCATGAAGGACCATAAGGGCTCTATTAAAGGTCACCTGCGGGACTCTTAAAGGTTCCTTAAAGCCTAGTTGGTAGGGACTATACTACCCAAAAAAGGTTAAAGGTTACCTACTCTACTAATTACTAGGCTTGCTGCCTCGTCATCGACTCAGGCAGGAGGTTGGTGTCGCAGCCTCCTAATCATCCTGGCGGTATGGGTCCGATGGCGCAAGGCGGGAAAGATGGTCGTTCCTGTTTCGTTTTTGCATTTGTTTTTTTGGGGGGCCAGACCAAAACTACCTAAGCCCTAACCCCCATGAAATTCTGTGAAGTCCTATAAAAGCCGAAAGAGCGACGACCCAATGCTGGGCTGGCTCAGTGTTCGGACTGTAAGACTGTAAGGTTTAAGTTCTGCGGCTTCGGGTTTGCGCATTTTGATTTGTAAGGGTTTGGGCTGCAGACTTGGACATTCAAGCTTTAAGGCTACAGGGCTTATGACTTTGGGGTTTAGGGTACAGGGGTTGGGGCTTGCATTCAGGCTGAAGGGGATCCAGACTGCAGATGCTTCAGGGTCTGACTGTCGCCAGGCCGGAACCGTGACGTCAGGCTCTCTGTGTTTGAAAAGTGTAAGTGAAACTGTTAATGCCCAGCCCAATCCGACAAGCTCTGAACCCGAACCTTATGCCTTCAAACCCAGAGGTGTATATATATATATATGTATGAATGTAAACCTCTACGAGCATCAAATTGTCAAAGCAGAAAAGGGGATCACACCAACACCTTTAACCAGACCGAAACCCTGCTATGCAAAAACCTAAACCCCGAACCTTAAGCCCGTAAAGCCCTAAACTCTAAACCATCCTAAACCCATAAATCCTTTACACCCAAAAACCCTAAAACCCAAAATCCTAAACCCTGTAGAGCCCTCAGAGACCGAGACCCCTTTAAGGAGCCCTTCAAGGAGCCCTCAACCTTATAAAGGACACCGAGCCCGAAAGCCTCGAACTTCGGCTCTGAAATTTGAAACCCCGAGTCCTACTTAAAAAGTCTTGAACCCAAAGGCTCAATCCAAGGGTGAAAGGAGGAACCCTTAATAAGGACCCCTAGGTATATACCCTTAATATAGCTATTACATAGCCATT